AAATTTTCCCCCCCAACCCGCTTTTTTGGCCCCGGGCCTTCTCGGGGGGGCCGGGCGGGCCTTAAAACCTTTTTTTTTTGGGGCAACGCGGGCAAGTTTCCGGGAAGCTTTGTTCAAATATTCCCCCCGGGGCCGTTCCTTTTGGCCGCCTATAGTTTTTTAAAGGGGGGCTCATGGGGCTCTCATAAAGGGCGGCGGGCCGTGAAAAAAGGTTCCCGGCCTTCCCCCCCCCTTCCCCCTCCTTTTCCCGGCAAGGCCCCCCCCCCCCCCCCCTCCCGCCTGCTTCGACCCTCCTCCTCACGCTCGCCGCGTCGCCATCTCCGGCATGCCAGCAGCCCACTTACCCTCGCCTCCTCGATCGCTGCCGCTTGTCCGGGGAGGTGGTGGCGTACCTGCCTGGCGACCCGACGACGACCTACAAGGGCAACCACTCCGACGGCTCGTCGCAGGCGACCACCGAGTGCTACACGGACATCGCGGACGAGAGTTCGGTGCGCCGCTTCGGTGCGCCGCTGCCTTGCCGCCCCGCGTGGGTGCATCTCACCCAAGCACCCAGATGACGCACTTGACCCCGGATGGCAGGGCGTTCGCGCTGTCACTTTCACGCCTCGGCCCGTCCTCGACATCGACGTGGAATCATCGACCCGACCGCCGTCATCGCCGCTCCCATCGAAACCGGCGTTCGACCCGGGCCATCTTTGCGCGAGTACGCCTACGCGGCGCTCCTCGGGCTCGTCCGCATCGAGGGAACTCTCACCTCATGAAGGGCGGCGGGCCATGTGCGGGTGCCCGGCCCTCCTCCCCACCCCTCTTCCTATCCCCCAGGTCGTCTCCAATCCCCGCCCCGCCCCACACCCCAGCCCCTTCCCGCCTGCCTCGACCCCCCTCCTCGACCCTCCTCCTGCGCTCGCGCAGGCCCGCGTCGCCATCTTCACGGGAGGGGCAAAGCCCGGGCCATCGTGCCGACGGCGACCTGGCCTCGAGCAGGCGCACAGCACGCGCACGCCCTCTGTGCCAGCGCCTCGCCGTCCCGCCTCTCTCCGGCCTCTCGCACCCCCGCCGCCTCCTTCCCCGCCTCCACCGTCGCCGCCGCCTCCCACCCGCCCCCTCCGTCGCCCCCACCACCGCCATCTCCCCCACCGCCAAGCCCGCCGCCAACCCCGCCACCGGCCAAGCCCGCCGCCGCCAAGCCCGCCTCCCCCGTCGGCGCCCGCTACATCACCCCCTCCACCGTCCCCACCACCGCCATCGCCCCCACCGCCAAGCCCCCCGCCGCCAAGCCCACACCTCCCCCGTCTCCACCCCCGATCGGTCGGCAACGGGCTTTGCCTTTCGCCTCCCACTAATCCTACTGAGCCTGCCTTCCCTTCGCCCCCGACCAGCCTCGCCCCCGCCGCCGCCGCCCTCGCCGCCGCCGCGCCCTTGCCGTCGCCCTCGCGCTCGCGCTCGTCCTCGCCGCCCCCACCCTCGCCGCCCCACCCCTGGCCGTCGCTTCCGCCCTCGCCGCTGCCACCATCGCCGCATCCGCCGCCTTCGCGCCCGCCCTCGCCGCCGCCCTCGCCGCCCCCACCCTTGCCGCAACCACCCTCGCCCCCTCCCTCGCCGCCGCTGCCGTCGTCACCGCCCTAGCCGCTGCCGCCGCTGCCGCCACTACCACCCTCGCCCTCGCTGCTGCCGTCGCCGCCACCGCCACTCTCGCCACCGCCGCCGCCGCCGCCACCGCCGCCGCCGCCTCACCGCCACGTACTGTCGCCGCCATCCTCGCCGTCGCTCGCCGCCGCCACTATCGCCGCGGCCCCCGCCACTGCCGCCATCTCAGTCTGCCCTCGCTGTCGCCGCGCCGTCACGCTGGCCTTGCCGCAACCACCCTCGCCCCCTCCCTCGCCGCCGCTGCCGTCGTCACCGCCCTAGCCGCTGCCGCCGCTGCCGCCACTACCACCCTCGCCCTCGCTGCTGCCGTCGCCGCCGCCGCCACCCTCGCCACCGCCGCCGCCGCCGCTGCCGCCACCGCCGCCGTCGCCTCACCGCCACGTACTGTCGCCGCCATCCTCGCCGTCGCTCGCTGCCGCCACTATCGCCGCGGCCCCCGCCACTGCCGCCATCTCAGTCTGCCCTCGCTGTCGCCGCGCCGTCACGCTGGCCTTGCCGCAACCACCCTCGCCCCCTCCCTCGCCGCCGCTGCCGTCGTCACCGCCCTAGCCGCTGCCGCCGCTGCCGCCACTACCACCCTCGCCCTCGCTGCTGCCGTCGCCGCCACCGCCACTCTCGCCACCGCCGCCGCCGCCGCCGCCGCCGTCGCCTCACCGCCACGTACTGTCGCCGCCATCCTCGCCGTCGCTCGCCGCCGCCACTATCGCCGCGGCCCCCGCCACTGCCGCCATCTCAGTCTGCCCTCGCTGTCGCCGCGCCGTCACGCTGGCCTTGCCGCAACCACCCTCGCCCCCTCCCTCGCCGCCGCTGCCGTCGTCACCGCCCTAGCCGCTGCCGCTGCTGCCGCCACTACCACCCTCGCCCTCGCTGCTGCCGTCGCCGCCACCGCCACTCTCGCCACCGCCGCCGCCGCCGCCGCCGCCGTCGCCTCACCGCCACGTACTGTCGCCGCCATCCTCGCCGTCGCTCGCCGCCGCCACTATCGCCGCGGCCCCCGCCACTGCCGCCATCTCAGTCTGCCCTCGCTGTCGCCGCGCCGTCACGCTGGCCTTGCCGCAACCACCCTCGCCCCCTCCCTCGCCGCCGCTGCCGTCGTCACCGCCCTAGCCGCTGCCGCTGCTGCCGCCACTACCACCCTCGCCCTCGCTGCTGCCGTCGCCGCCACCGCCACTCTCGCCACCGCCGCCGCCGCCGCCGCCGCCGCCGCCGCCGCCGCCACCGCCGCCGCCGCCGCCGCCGCCGCCGCCGCCGCCGCCATCCTCGCCGTCTCCCTCGCCGTCGCCTCACCGCCACGTACTGTCGCCGCCATCCTCGCCGTCGCTCGCCGCCGCCACTATCGCCGCGGCCCCCGCCACTGCCGCCATCTCAGTCTGCCCTCGCTGTCGCCGCGCCGTCACGCTGGCCTTGCCGCAACCACCCTCGCCCCCTCCCTCGCTCGCGCGCTGCCGTCGTCACCGCCCTAGCCGCTGCCGCCGCTGCCGCCACTACCACCCTCGCCCTCGCTGCTGCCGTCGCCGCCGCCGCCACCCTCGCCACCGCCGCCGCCGCTGCCGCCGCCACCGCCGCCGTCGCCTCACCGCCACGTACTGTCGCCGCCATCCTCGCCGTCGCTCGCCGCCGCCACTATCGCCGCGGCCCCCGCCACTGCCGCCATCTCAGTCTGCCCTCGCTGTCGCCGCGCCGTCACGCTGGCCTTGCCGCAACCACCCTCGCCCCCTCCCTTGCCGCCACTGCCGTCGTCACCGCCCTAGCCGCTGCCGCTGCTGCCGCCACTACCACCCTCGCCCTCGCTGCTGCCGTCGCCGCCACCGCCACTCTCGCCACCGCCGCCGCCGCCGCCGCCGCCGCCGCCGCCGCCGCCGCCGCCGCCACCGCCGCCGCCGCCGCCGCCGCCGCCGCCATCCTCGCCGCCACCCTCGCCGTCGCCTCACCGCCACGTACTGTCGCCGCCATCCTCGCCGTCGCTCGCCGCCGCCACTATCGCCGCGGCCCCCGCCACTGCCGCCATCTCAGTCTGCCCTCGCTGTCGCCGCGCCGTCACGCTGTCCTCCTCGCTCTCTCCGCCGCCAAACTCGCCGCGGCGCCCTCCCTCTCTCCGCGGCGACCTCGTCCTCGCCCTTGCCGCCCCACCCCCGTCGCCGCCGCCGCCGCCGCCGTCGCCGCCGCCGCCGCCCTCGCCGCCGCTCGGCTGCCCGTGCCTCGCCGCCCACCCGGCCGGCGTCAGCCTCGTGAGCGGCGAGGTGCATGTCGTCACGGCGGACGGCGTGAGCCTCGCGTACCCCGGCACGTACGGCCTCCACGGGTCGAGCACGAGCGGTGCTACGTCGACCCGGCCGCGTGCAACACCGAGTACAGCACGGCCGCGTACGTGGTGGGCGCCACCCTGCACTCCTCGTACCGTGCGTGCGGCTTCAGCAACGAGTTCGAGAGCTAGTTCTACCAGCCGCCGCCGCCGTCACCGCCGCCCTCGCCGCCGCCGCCCTCGCGTCGCCGTCGCCCTCGCCGCCACCCTCGCCGTTGCCGCCCTCGCGTCGCCGCCGCCCTGCCGCCGCCGCCCTCGCCGCCACCGTCCTCGCCGCCACCGTCACCGCCACCCTCGCCGCCGCCCTCGCCCCCACCACCGTCACCGCCACCCTTTCCGCCGCCCTCGCCGCCGCCACCTCCGCCGCCCTCGCCGCCGCCCTGGCCGCCGCCGCCGTCGCCGCCTCCACCCTCGCCGCCGCCGCCCTCGCCACCGCCACCGTCTCCGCCACCACTGTCTCTGCCGCCCTCGCCGCCGCCCTCGCCGCCTCCACCCAGGCCTCGCCCCCGCCGCCCTCTCCGCCGCCACCCTCGCCGCCGCCCTCGCCGCCGCCACCGTCTCCGCCCCCGCCCTCGCCGCCACCGCCCTCGCCGCCGCCGTCGGCCCCACCGCCCTCCGTGCCGCCGCCGCTGTCACCACTGTCGGCCAGGCAATGAACGACGCGTCGCCGTGCGTGCCTGACTACTGCGGCCAGGCAATGAACGACGCGTCGCCGTGCGTGCCTGACTACTGCGGCCAGGCAATGAACGACGCGTCGCCGTGCGTGCCTGACTACTACGGCCAGGCTATGAACGACGATTCGCCCGCCGCCGCTTCGTTGCTGCCACTTCCGGCCCACCGCCGCCGTTGTGCCGCCGCCTCCGCCGCGCAACGTGCCGCCGCAGCCTTCACCGCCGCCACCGAAGCATTCGCCGCCCTGTGCCGTCGACACTGCCGCCGCCGCAGCCCCCGCCCCCTTCCTGCCTCCCCCTCCACCCCCCCCCCACCCCCCCACCCCCAGACACACACACACCCCGCCGCCCTCGCCCTCGCCCTCGCCCTCTATTTATTCTCTGGCCCTCGTCGCCTGCAACACTCGCCCGACATGAACCTTAGCCCGCTCTCTCGTTGCGCCGCCCTCCGCAGGCTCAACGTCCGAGCTTTGTCCCCCGTCACTTTCCTCTCATTCAGACCCCACACACGCGCATAGCTGTTCGCACATCTCTGACCAATGCAGGCGCCTTGCCTCACTCCGCTCACGGCACCCATTCTGTCCGCTGTGCAGGACGCGCACCGAGAGGCGCTACATGGTCGACCTCATCGAGGTGGAGGACGACGAGTCGAAGTCATGGAAGAAGAAAGAGCCCGGTCCGCTCAAGGACATCGTTGACGCCGGCGGCAAGCCCGCTGGTGGCATCCAGTCCGAGGGCGAGCCCGCATCGCTCGAGCACGTCATCCCGTCCAACGGCGAGCCCGCATCGCTCGAGGACGAGATGATCCTGCTCTGGCCCACGGGCGATGACTGGTGCGCGGCAGCCGAGCTCGCGGATAAGCTCAACTCGCAGCTGGGCGTGGCCATCGACATGGTCTTGCTGGCGGGGTGGGTGGCGGTGGCTCGGGTGGCGACAGAGTCGTCGCAATGCATGGACGCCACCTCTTGCATTGGCAACCGCATCCACTACATCGTGTCGACGCTCAACAGCGTGTGGGCCGGCAAGATCACCGGGATGTTCTTGGAGAACGACATCCAAGATCTGCAGGAGATGCTGTGCGTGTCCGACAACTCCAAGGCGGCGGCCCTCTTCGTCGAGCGCGTTTGGCAGGCGCTGGGTGTCCTCGCGCAAGCCTTCTCCTTGGAGAGCCCCTGCTACCAGGACGACGAGACACCGGCGTCGGCCAAGACGTTCCCGGAGGAGACGGCTTCGGCGGTGAGCGCCCTGCAGCCCCCTGCAGCGTCTCCTGCACCGCTGTACGCTCACACGATTTGCATTCGCCCTCTCGATCGAGCACGTGCACACATGGACATGGGTATTGCCGGGACACGGGAGTCCCACGTGCGGTACTCATATTGACCCTGTGGCCTCTCGCACACGCGCAGGGCATCGACGAGTGGACGACCCCCTCCCCGCTCCGCAAAATCGAGCGCAAGGGCAAGCCCAGCCTGGTCGACTGCTCCAAGAACACCACTCCGATGGACCCACCGACGGCCCCCAACGGCGTCACCAAAAGTGTCCCGGCTCTCACGCCGGCGGCGACCGGCGGCGCGCTGCTGCCGTCGAGCGAGGAGTTTCCGGTGGAGACGCCCGCCCCGGCGGCGAGCGCCTTGCATTCTGCGCCGTGCGTCTGCCGACCCACTCGCTCTCCCACCGGTAATAATCTCCCTTCCCGTGTGCCCCTATCGCGCTTGCAGGACACCACCTGCTACCCGGGCCTGCCCACGCCGATGGCGGCGGGGAAGAGCGGGCCCGCGTCGGCCCGCAGCGGCTCCGGACCGGGCTACGTGGACGGCGTCGAGGCTGCAGTCCGCCGGCTGGGCGAGAGCGTCAGCTACCAGGCTGCGCCCGCCGACGGCGAGAAGTCGCCGTCGCCGGGAGTCCCCACCTCCGGCGGCATTGCGCCCGTGGCGCCCAAGCCCCTGAGCGCGGTCGCGGGCGCGGGGCAGGCTGAGGCCGAGGCCGCCAAGGAGCGCGAGCACTGGGAGGGGCGGCTCAAGAAGGCGAAGGCCGCGCTCGATCTCATTGCCGAGCAACGGGAGAAGTGGGCGGACTTGCAGTCGCGGCGCTCGGGGAAGTGCCGGCGCAAGGCCATGCGCTGCCGCAACAACCCCAAGTTTGGCAAGGCAAAGGGCAGGCGCAAGTCTGGCAAGGCAAAGGGCCGCGGCCGCCGCCCGAACTGGCGCCGCGAGCCGCAGACCACGTCCGGCAAGGCGCCATTCGCCGCTGGCACGTGCGGCGCCGTCGCTGGCACATGCGGCGCCGGCGGTCGTGCCGCCCTCAAAGCGGCGGCCAACTGCGTGCAGGGCGGCTACACGAAGGCCGAGGGCGCCTTCCGGTGGCTGCTCCTCGTCTGCATGCCCGCCTTCGGCCACTGCGCGTCCGCCGTGCCTCGCCCGACAACGGTGGCCTCGGCCTTCTCGTCTGCCGTCGCCTCGGCGTCCTCGGCCTTCTCATCCGGCGTCGCCTCGGCGGCGTCCTCGGCCTTCTCGCCCGCCGTCGCCTCCAAGGCGTCCTCGCTCGTGAGCTGCTCGCCGCTTCTCATGCCCGCCCTCGTGCTCATCCTCCTCGCCATCGCCTGCGTCGCCTCCTGGCCGACCGCGGCGAGCGGAAAGGGGGCTCGGCGCGGCGCGGCGTGGGCCGTCTTCGTCGCCGCCGCCGCGGCGTGCCTCCCCGGCGCAGCAGCGGCTCCCATGGAATCCTCTGCGTCGAGCACCACTTTCTCGTGGTTCACGGAGGGTGGTGCGATACCTCTCTCTTTCCTCTTCGCCGTGAGCGTGTTTGCTGCCACGGCCGACCTCGTGCTCCGGAAGCTGCGCTGGCGGCGCAACAGCACGGCGCCCGCCCCGGCGGCGAGCGCCTTGCATTCTGCGCCGTGCGTCTGCCGACCCACCCCTTGACCCACCCCGCTTTCATTGCGTAGGGCGACGCCGACTGGGCCGTCTCGGCCAAGGAGTCTCCGCCAGAGGAGAAGCTCGCCCCGGCGGTGAGCGCCTCGCACGCTGCGGTGCATCGCAGAGCCTCAACTATTGACGCACCCACCGCTTGCGCGTGCGCAGGGCATCCCCGACAGGACCACCCCGTCGAACCCGCGCCGCAAGAAGGGGCGCAAGGGCGCGTCCACCCCGATCGTCCGCACCAAGAGCATCGCCCCGGTCGGCGGCAACAACCAGTTCGGGGCCCTGCTCGGAATGGACGGCAACGAGGGCATCCTCGGCGGCACCGGCAAGGTGCCCCGCGGCTCCACGCCGTCGACCACAGACTCGGTGCTCGCCGCCTGCATATACGCGGCCTCCTCCCCCGCTCGCCGCTCAGACCGCCAGTCTCCCGCCCTCCTGTTCAGGGCGCGACGGTCGACGTCGAGACGACCACGATGACCACGCCGGAGGGCTCCGTCTCTGCCTCCGGCTGGTTCTCTCGGCCCAAGTTCTGCCCATCCTACTTGCTCCGCCTCTTTGGCATCCTCGCGCTGCTCTGCCTCGGAGCCGCGTTTGCGCACTCCAAGTCCTCTGCCACCACCACGCTTCTCTCCTCCCAGCGCCACGGGTCCACGATATCCTTTCCCCCGGTCGCAAAGCTGGCATCGCTTAACGGCTTCTGCGAGACTGGCGGCGACAACACTTTCGTGTCTTCGAACAGCGTGCCCGCCGACCACCCGGTGCGTGCTCGCTCACGCTTGCTAGTACCCGCACCGCATCAGGTTCTCGACCCGCACTGCACCCGCCACGCTGCCGCATCACGCACTCCCCATCTCCCGCGCCGCCCGCCCGCCTGCTGTCTGAACCTCCTGTCTGAGCGCCACTCCCGTGCCGCCTAGGTGGGCACCTGCCAACCCGCCACGGCGGACGGGCACCCAGTGTTCGAGCCCGGGGCGCCAAAGACCGAGGTGGCGAAGGGGTACCACCCAACCAAGCTGGCCGATATCATGCCCATGAACGTCCACGGTGGCTCCACTCGGATCGCCGACCCGAAGGTTGCCGAGTCGGCCGATCTCTTCTCTGTCTCAAGTGTGTGCGCCGACTGCGAGGTTGGCGACGCCAGCTCGTTTGCAGACATCGCCTCGTTGGACAGCGTGCTCACCAACCACCCGGTGCGTGCTCGCTCGCTCGCGTGCTATTATCCGCACCGCGCAAGCTCGTGACTAAAACCCCCCCTGCGCCGTTCAGGGCGGATGCGACGAGGGGCGCTCGTGGTTAGCAATGATGGAAGAGATCGACGAGGCGGTGGGCGAGCCGTTGCACCTGATTGGCGAGCCGCCAGCGTCCATCATCGAGGACGTTTACGAGAAGCAGCCTGTGAGCGCCCCTCTGAATATTCTGTGTGCGAGCCTTGTAATCCGCTGACGGATTGCCTGTGTGTTTGCGTGTAGGGCGTCCCGGCCTCGCGCAACAGCACGAAGCGCGAGGGCGAGCCCTTGATCGACTTTGTCGGTTCCGTCTA